AAGGGTGTTGCTGAAAGACAGCAGTAAGAAGGAGCCAAATAGTAGCAGTAGAAAGGCTGCAGAAAGAGTCAGGAGCCCAGAGGAGGGGGCAAAGGAGGTGAGGGGGTGGGGGCAGAAAGTGGAAATGAAAGCAGACAACAGAACATTGCTAGAGAGCAGGAAAGGAGATAAAATAAGACAATTTTAGAGAAGAAAATTTTTCGGTCGCTACCCGGATTCGAACTCGGGACCTTTGAATGAGAGGCCAACACCTTAACCTCTAAGCCACGAGAGCCCCCACCAAACGTCTAAAAGATGGTCATTTTTCTCTTCGACAATGGGTTCCGTCTTCGACAATTTCGATTACGAGAGACGAAATATAGGCCTAATCATCGCAAAACAACAAGTCGGGTCACCACTCAAACAGTGAGGAAAGCCATGTTACAAATCTACGTGGAAAGTTAGGCAAAGTCCTGGTTGAAAAATAACTACAACCAGTTAAGAGCACGAAAGCCGAAAAACACCCACACGAAACACGAAAACCACCCACTCCCACTCCAACCCCCCTTTTTTTCTACACTTACCCCTTAAAAAAAGAAATATCGGAAATAAGAGGTTATGCTACAATATAACATATTCATTACACAGGCTAGGTACATATCAGACGGAGAAATCTATTTTGCGGGTAGAATTTTTCTTTAAAACTGCTGAGCAATTTCGAGGCTGACTTCATTCGTTTCTTTAGATTTTTCTTTGTAGCAGCACAGGTGTTGTACTGACGAGCTCGATTCATCAGTGTTATAGGGATTGATTGTAAAGCGCCCCTCCACCTAATAAATAAATAAATAAATAAATAAATAAATGCGTGTCGTGTAGTAAATAAACCAAACCCAAACAAAACGAAAAATTTGCCTGTAATACTCCTTAACCCTACCTCGATTGTTTGGTTGTACATATAATGCCTTATTTCATTTAGAACGAGAGAATAACAGCAACAGCAAATACCACCCTCAGAGGAGGAACCGCAAATGATCCTGGATGGATTGAGTGTTTGACACTCTCAAAGAACCAGATAGCTCCAGTATAGAAACCGTTGAAACTGTCTAAGAAAGCCACCTAAATGGCCAGGAGAAAAATGGCCGTATTAGTCAGACCGTCGTTTTACACATGGTCAGTATAATGTAAAAAAACAACAACAACCCAAGGGAGGAAATAGGAAGTGGCCATTTGTACATGTGATTGTCTTATGAAGGTGGCCGTTAGAGCTGGTTCGACTGTACTTCTATTTAATGAATACACAGAAAAAGTGAGGCTGTAACTTATTCAAGTTTAAGTCTAACGAACTATCAGAAGGCTGAAAAAACTGGAAACATAATATATATA